GAGGATTATCAGCTTAACGATTTGTCTAACATAAACACATAAAGTGCCTTGAGATTGAAGGAGGGCGGAAAGCTCAAAATCATCTGTGTATTAACAAATGCAGTTGGTTTAGCACAGCAATCCCACAAAGGAGAGAAACCAATAGTCGAATTTTGATCATTTAGAGAAAATAACCGTACGCGACATGTAGGTCTCTCATACAGGCAAGCCCATATTTCCTGTGATTTTGTAGCCTGCACGCGTTTCATCCCTGAGCTGTAAACACAGAGGGCAGGAATCGGTGCGAAATGAGGGCGGGAAAATTACCATCTCAATCTTTGTTAATCATTTTACTAAAATGAGTGTTGCTAATCATTTTACTAAAGTGGGCTAAATTACCGTTACGGATGTAGTTCAAAAACCGTATATTTTTATAGGAAAAATTTTAAAATTGCCGGTTAAGCTTTTCTGCAAATTAATTTTTTTTTAGAAGTTTCAATTTTTTCCATGATTTGGAAGAAATTTTGTCATATTCAAAAACAGTTAAAAATAATAGTGCACCAGAACTCCTATCTCGCCAATTTTTCCAGTCTCAGTGCATTTCCCTTATATTCGTTCCAGCACGCAATTTCTTTCCTGTTTTCATGAAAAATCTCTTTTTCTCAGATCAGCTGGATTTATTCCACCAATTCATTTTCAAAAAATTGGCCAACGCGCGGGCTGCCCGTGCGAAGATGCGTTTTTTGCAGAGTTCCCTGCAGTTTTTGCCGCTACCGGCATCGGTTTTTTCGGCAGATTTTTCTAGTTGAAAGAATTTCAGACTGGCCGCCAGAACTGTCAGGAAACATCCCCTCAAAATTCCAGATCTAGTAGAAAGAATTTGAGACTGGCCGCCAGAACTGTTAGGAAACATCCCCTCAAAATTCCAGTCAAGTTGAAAGAATTTCAGACTGGCCGCCAGAACTGTCAGGAAACATCCCCTCAAAATTCCAGTCTTCTATTTTTCGGCAGATGCTTCTAGCTGAAAGAATTTGAGACTGGCCGCCAGAACTGTCAGGAAACATCCCCTCAAAATTCCAGTCTTCTAGCTCTCTCACGTTCTCGAGGAGTAACTTACTCGGAAGGAACTTTTCACGGGCCTGTACGTAGGTACCACGCTTACCCGGGGGCTGGTCACCTGCCTGGGCGGGGAACATTCCCCTAAAATTTCACCCTTCTAGCATCTCAGAAGCCCGAGTTATGAATTTGCGCGGGAAAAATTTTGGGGGCCCGTACGCGGGTACCACGCTTACCCGGGGGCTGGAATTGAGCTCATTAGCACCTGCTTGGACGGGGAACATTACCCTAAAGTTTCAGCTTTCCAGCATCTCAGAACCCCGAGTTATGAACTTGCGCGGGAAAAATTTTGGGGGTCCCGTACGCGGGTACCACGCTTACCCGGGGGCTGGATTTCAGCTCATTAGCACCTGCCTGGGCGGG